GGCTGTAGGTTTGCCACCTGGACAGTCCGGGTTTTGAATGCTGTGTCCGGGTTTCATGTCAGGCAGACAGGGGCAATTAAAATTAAGATGGGGGATAATGGCCCCCCCACTGAGAATAGTCTCAAATGTGATATTTACATATGAATGGGCAGTGCTATTTACATATGAATAAGCCACCGCTCATTCTAAAAAACAAAATGTCTGCGCGTCGCTTTAGTGTTTGGGTTTCGCTTCAAGAATAGGTGGCCCCTTGATTGCAGAGTCACTGTTTCAGAAATATGGTATGTAGACTGGAATCTCTGACTTTACTTGCTGCATGCTTGTTTTCAGCCAGCCACTCAGGAAGTGATGACTAGGCAGAGGCAGCCAGGAAAATGGCGTTTACAGCAGCTACTTTCCTACGATGCCCTGCTGCAGGGGTAAATGAGTGCAAGTCAGAGACGGTCAATTCATACTTCTAATCATGTCACATCAATTATTATATAGCAAAATGATATCTATTTGTAAACAGTCGAATTCAGCCAATCAAGTTACTTACGGGCGGTCATGTGACTCCTGCCCTCCGACCGTTTTTTTCTTTCCGTCAGCGTCCAGTATTCAAGCCTTCCCAATGGCCACGTGACCCTGCCCTCGCGCAGACCGTTTTCTACGCTCCGATTGTATCAAGTGTCTGAACGGCCACGTGACCCTGCCGCGTTCAGCCAATCAAGCCCCTCCTACGCTGGCGCGCTTTACGAACATCCACGTGACCCTGCCCTCGCGCAGGGGGCTATTACCCGTCCAGTCCGCCCGAGGCAGAAATATAAAAAAAAAGGCGGGCTCCGCAAATCCCGTGCCAAGCCCTGTCAGGTTGTATCTCTTCCCGGTTCGTGTTTTCTGCTTGGGGTGGCTAGGGACGCTGGGGGTTGTAGTCAATTAGAGAAAGGGGGAGTGACCCGACATGGCTGCTTTCAGGGAATGGAATAATATAAATGACGTCATTAGGAATGTGAACTGAGGTGGACGTTGTGGTGTCTTGTCTGTCCGTGTGCAATGTTGTCAGCTTCTGTGGTAAATGTTAGTTGCCTGGTTCTGCTTTGTGAGCAACATGGCAGCCAGGCCTCTAGTATTTTCTGCAGGATGGAAATAATAAAAGCTGGTTGCCTGGCAACAAGCCAACATGAGCTTCAAAAATGGACCGGAATAAAACTATGAGAGAGACAGGCGATGAGCATTTTCAGAAATATAGTTCAGCGGTGGCAGCCTGTGTGTCAACCTCGGATGGGTTTCCAGCATTCAATGAGGACGCTGTCACATGGACGTGAATGGCTTTCATGAAGATGTTAGACGCCTGGCCGTGTCCAGTCACCCCAAAACCCAGGGATAGCCCCCCCCCCCTGTTATGGTCCACCCCCCATCCAAAGAGAGCCAAGCGAATACCATTTCCTGAAAGCCAGTTCACTCCTATGTGCAGGCGTCCTCGTTTCCATTAAGTAATGCACAAATCTGCCATGATTCCTCTCCAGCATCGCAGACCTGAGCGATCCCTCTGCTCCGTACGACTGCCAGGTGACCGGTATTTCCCAGCACAGTCCTCCCATCATCCAGACAGGAAATGTCCATCGGGTTGCCATGGTTTCTGATTGTAAACATTTATATATTGTTCAAAACTTCCTGTACCTGGCCAGTCATGGACAGAAATATTGGCACCCCTGCATTCCTGTCAGATAATGCACCACTCGGCGCAGGAAATGGTATTCGCTTGGCTCTCTTTGGATTCGCTTGGCTCTCTTTGGATGAGGGGTGGACATTTGTGTTTTGCATTTAGTTGCGACTGACTTGCAGAACTTACCTTCACGGCGGTGCTCAGACCCGAACAGCCAATCACCAGGCCCACGTGGCGCCACATTGGGGTCCATGATACACCAAAATTTACACCAAAAATGGTACTATGGGTAAAATGCCGATAGTACCATAACAGCCGAAAATTCAGCTTCTCCTGCTGGACACCCGTCTGTGTCCCCTCCGATGCCAGCTGCTTTCCCCCTCCTGTGTCAGCAGAGGCAGCGGGGATCGGAGGGGACGCAGACCGGAGTCCAGCAGGGAGGAGAGAAGCTTTCAGTAGGCCAAACGGGACGGTGCTGAGAGGAGAGAGTTGTCAGAGGAGGCCGAGCTCTCCTCCGGCATTGCCCCGCTCAGCCTCCTGTGACAGGCGGAGGAGTCAGGATCAGGGGCGTCCCGTGGGTGGGTGTCACCCGGAGCGGAGACCGGGTGACACCCACGCATCGTGCATGCGTGAGCATCTAATTGATGTCAACACGCATGCGTGACCGTCTAATTGACGCCTGCCGGCGGACATCTTGTTGATGGAAGCCGGCAGAGAGAGGAGGGGACGTTCTCCCGGCGGAATGAGGTGTGCCGCCGGGTCCCCTCCTCTCTTCTGACACTGTTGGGCTCTTGGTCCATGACCAGGTGCCCGACTTTTTAGATTGAGTTACACCAAAATGACTGTCATTATGGTGTCACAAGGGGGGTGCGGGCCGCACCCCCTTGTGACACCACTGGTCAGGATGGAGATCACTCGGTGATCAGAACTGATTGCCGAGTGTTTATAAATAACTAAGGACATAGTATTCTTACTGTGTCCCCAGATAGGAAAGGAACAGGAAGTGTTCTACATCATTTCCTGTTCATTCAGAATTGTGGACATAGTAACTTATACTATCTCTACAGTTTATGAATGGACAGGAGCACTCAGTATAGAGGATTCCCGGTCATTCATAACAGGGGTTGCAGAATAAGAAAAAGGGACTCTGTGTCCTCAGAAATGTCCCCAAAGCCCCCAACAGTAAAGTGAAAATAAATAATAATAATAAAATAATTTTAATATAATGTAAACATTTTCAAAAAGGTTGGGGAAAAAAATAGTCAGACAATTTGTATTTTTGAGGATTAATTTCCTTATTGAACAACTCCAGAGCTCTCGGTCAATCCAAAATGGTAATAAACCTCAAACCTGAATATTGAAGAAGGTAAATGGTAAATATTTAAGCAACTAAATGGAAAACAGAAATGTTCCGTCTCACTTGTTTATTTTCATGTGTTAAAGTGAGAAGAATAAGAAACAAACAACTTAACATTTACAAATAAACATTTCTGACATTTTCAAAAACAAAATCAGTGACCAATATCACCAATACCCGTCCTGAGCCTCCCATCCATGGAGTCTGTCAGTCCTCAGCCTCCCATACACGGAGTCTGTCAGTCCTCAGCCGCCCATCCATGGAGTCTGTCAGTCCTCAGCCTCCCATCCATGGAGTCTGTCAGTTTCTTCATCTGTTGACCATCATGTTTTTGTGCAGCAGCAACTACGGCCCCCCAGACACTGTTCAGAGAGGTGCACTGTTTTCCTTCACTGTAACTCTCTCATTTAATAAGGGCTCACAAGTTCTCAGTAGGGTTTAGGTCAGGTGAGGAAGGCGGCCATGTCATCATTCTTCCATCTTTAAGGCCACGCAGTGGAGTACTCGGATGCGTGCGATGGAGCATTGTCCTGCATACATATCATGGTCAGACGTTTTCCTGTAGCACGGCTTGAAGAAAGTGTCTTCTAAAACCTGGCAGTAGTTTTGGGAGTTGATTTTGAGTCCATCTACAACCCGAAAAGGTCCAACTAGCTCATCTTTATTAATACCAGCCCATACCAGTACCCCACCTCCACCTTGCTGGCGTCTGAGTGGAAGTGGAACTCTGTACCCGTTACTGATCCAGCCACCTATCCACCCATGTGGTCTATCAAGAGTCACTCTGATCTCATCAGTCCATAAAACCTTTGTAAGATCCGTCTTCAGATATTTCTTGGCCCAGTCCTGACGTGTGTTCAGTGGTGGTCGGGTTTCCTTACCTCGGCCATGTCTCTGAGCACTGAACACCTTGTACTTCTGGGCCCTCCAGGTAGGTTGCAGTTCTGGAATATGACGGCACTGGAGGATAACGGCTTCCTGGGAGCTTCACGTTTCATTCTTCTCAAATCTTTGGCGTCTTTCTTTCTCAACACGTTTCTGGCGACCCTGCTGCCTATTTGCAACAAAACGTTCGATGGTTCTGTAATCACATCCCAATATCTGAGCAAGTTCAAGAGTCCTGGATCCCTCTGAAAGAATTTTTACAATTTTTGACTTTTCAGAGTCAGCTAAATCTCTTTTTTGGCCCATTTTGCCTGAGGAAAAGAAGCTGCCTGTGTTGTTTGTAATATGATAGTGGGTGTTGATCTCCTAAGGCCACACCCCCCTCATTACACAAATAAACATCACCTGATATGCTGACATCCAATAAGCCTTCAAGTTTATACAGCTTGGAGTTGGACAATATGCATAAAAATGGTGATTTGGTCAAAATGCTCACTTGCCTAATAATTGCGCACACAGTGTATACATGCACATACAGTATGTGTATAGATATATGGCAAGTTTTAGGATAACTCAGGGAAATAGAAACTTTCTTCTTATTTCCTGTCCCAGAGTAGTGAGAGGAAATCACTGGAACAAATGTCCCCTCTATCTCAGTGCTAATAGACACAAGGAGAAATACAGGGGGGGAATCTACCTAGCGGGGCCACAGACAGGAGTTCTTACCCTCCTCCAAGACTAAAACATACATAGTGTTATACATGCACTTTCAGGAAAATAGGTTCTAGTTTTCCTTTAAAACGTGGAACATGTTTATGTCATACAACGGCAAGGTTCCCAGGATGCTTTGCGGCCCTGAGAAAACCTTGAAGGGGCGCCAGTTTGACAGTCCTGAGAGGATAAATCATTGAAGATGGAATGGGAAGTGCTTTGAGAGTGTTAAAGAACACTCTTAGATTGCAGTCCCAGGCGGTAAGACTATCAGCTTCTAGTCATAATGGCGTCTCACTGTTCCCTTCGAAGGAAGGTAGACCAAATAAAGGAGACTTCGTTATTTAGTCAATATAATTTGGACCCAAATATTTTCATATGTTTAAGGGGGGTTGCTCGATAATAAATAATTGCCTGCCTGTTTAAAGTACTGTAGATGTACATTGTATGCATGCAGGCTGCCCAGTTTTGAAGTGGTCGTGTATAGAATGGATATGCTGAAAAGCAGAATATGGAAATGACTCAGAGCATTGTGCCAGATGGAGCACAGCTTGGAGCATATTTAAACTGTATTGCTTGCACATTTCTTGTTTGTAAGATCAGTGCAGCAAATCTTGTCACAGGCCATAGCAAGGCCACCGACTTTTCATCCTCCACATCACCGAAAATCTCATTTATTCAGGCCTCATTCACACCAGGCTCTAAGGTCCAGCTGCTTGCGTCCAGGGGCAATGATCTCTGTCTCAGCTGTTAAAAGCCACACGCGATTCCAGCCACAAGAATCTGCAGAACTGAATTTGCAGCTGCGCCATAAAGCCAAGAACAAGGTCTTAGAACAGACCTGGGCATTCTAGGCCGGTCGGCCTTATCCACCCCTTGGTCTGTGGCAGTTCGGCCTGCGGTCCACACATGGACCGATCACCGACCTGCACTCATTTATGGTTGGCTGACAGTGGATACACTGCTGTCCACTGCCACTCATAGATTAGCACAGGCCAGCGATCAACCCATATCTGAATTACGTTCGCATTGCAGCCAGGAGGTTTGTTTTGGGTGCTATACAAATGAATGGCAATTAAACACACCTGCCGCACTGTAACGCACGATAGGAGCATTGCGTGGTACCGTTTGTTGATCACATGAGAAACTGGGACTGCTGTGGAGGGCCAAACCAACTGTCCCTATTGATTCGGCCATCCACAACAGTCCTAGTTTTTCATGCGGCCCCTTTAAAAAATTAATTGCCCACCCATGCTTAGAAGATGCATTAAAAGTGAGCCTGCTATAGCTCTCTCTCTAGCATCTCTATGGATAGGCATAGAGATGAAGAGGTGGCCACCTTGGGCACTTGAGCAGGTTGAGGTGCAAAAAAGGCAGGACCTGCACTCTATCATGCTGAAGTAGTTCACAGCTCATGGAGGACGGCTCACTTTGGCCTTTTCCACTTGGGTGCTAAAGGTCCTTGTCCTAGCACTGGAACAGTAACAATCCGTGTACCCATTGCACTCCTTACCGCTAATCCGTGATGATGGGTTGGGTGCATCAGCAGTCGACGGATGGCCACCGTCTGAATAGAATATAGGAAATTATGGACACCGGCAATAAGTGTTTTGTTGCATTTAAACGTCAATAAAGAGACGTTATTCTACCTTGGAGTGACGGTGTCCATAATTTCCTAGCACTGGAACAGACAGACAAGAAACCAGTAACTACATTGTAAAGTATTCACAACTTTATTGACAAGTTGTGGACCACCATCACTTACGGATTAATTTTAAAAAAATTCCACCCAGAGTACATGGCACTAGTGCTCCTAGATGGCACTGACAAGTATAGGAATTTCCTGTACTCATTAGTAGCTTCTAGGGATGCTAGTGGAAAAGGCATGCCAAGCACAACTTTTTTTTAAATGAACCCCTTATTGTCAATAATGTTACACATACTCTTCAATCAAGTTACTGCTTGTATGCGGTCTGTATCCTAGTGAGGTTGCTATCTATAGAAATGTGCTCTTGCTTCTAAAACAAGTTCTAAAATCTGCAGACGCACACCCACTTCTGCGGTTTGTTGGACTCTAAGCAACATCTCACCAAAAGAGAATCCTTTGATGTGTGCCACCTTAGAACTTATAATACAGAATCAGTGTAATGGAAGCAGTGTCAGCCTAAAAACAGGACAAAGTAGCATGCTGGCTAAATGCATAGCAATCTGATAAAGATGTAGGATAAAAAATTGTGTATGCTTTAAAATAGAACTACACTCGGACTGGAGGTGAATGGACACATACTGCAAAAAAGGGGGCAGTGTCTATGGTTGACTATCTATTATTCCCTACAAGCCAGCTTGACACGGTCATCACACCCTTTTCTCTACAAATACTAGAGGGTATCAATACTGCACCAGCCCAGTACTGGGCAGCTGTAAAAAGTATTACTTCTCATAACAGGTTTATAGTTATTACATATTACAGCCATGTACCTTTTCTTTTTTAAACAAATATAACTACAGTATTGTTAGTAAACAAAAGAATATGTCAATGTGTCAAAGTAATAACAATCAGTATCATGTATTGCAGCTTGTAGATGTCTGTGAGTTTTTAAAAAAAATGTTTTACACACATGTTCTTCTGGACAAGCATGGGATCCTGGCCAAGATATGGATTGCAGCTCACTGGCACAAGAAACTGACCAAGAGCAATATATTTGAATGCAACCTTGAAATGGCCATCAAGAATATCGTGTCTGCAAAGGTATATATGCTGAACCATGTTGCCAGATCGTTATTTGTGGTGTTATACAGCTGTGGGTGGAAAATAGCTGGGAACCGACTTTTAATATCTTAAACATCTGTCTTGTAGATGGTCATGTCCTTGAGAATATCAGGACATTTACTTCTTGGAGTAGTGCGAGTGTACAACCGAAAGACAAAATATCTGCTGACCGACTGCAGTGACTCTCTGCTCAAAATGAAACTTGCCTTCCGTCCAGGTATCCGGAAGCTGATGGTGCTAAATGGGGGTAGTAGTAAAGAATGTGATTTATAAAACTTGGATTTTATAAAGACTAACTATTGCTTGCCGGTTTATAAGTTACTTGCAAGTTGAATAATATGTGTGCTTTTTCTATGTTGTGTACTTAAAACCCAACTCTTTTTTTTAAATTTCTTGTCCCACGCCAGCAAAAATAAAACAAAAACTATCTCTGGCTGCAATACTCACCCTATCTCCAGCAATGCCTCCCATAGACTTCCCACTGTGATCCAATGCCGGTACTCTTGGATTAAATGTCACTCAGCATTGTTTAAACCGCCTTCTTTATTTTTTAACTTATTTTCTGTTTCCTCAGATTCTTCAGGTAAGGAGAAACATGACATTTGTGTATATGTTATATACAAAGACCATTCCATGCAACTAGTCTATGGCATTCAAAGCGATATCCATAGAGTATTAGTACATGGGGCTGGGGAATACATAGACATGGTACATAAGGTGGAAGAGGGGGGACTTTTAATAGTAGCCTTGCTTGGGTATCAGCAAACAGAGGCAAGTTAATCTTTCTGTGAGCTCAGGGTATCAAGGACCAATCTCCTTGGAAGTGTGTCATCAGGTCGCTCTGGACTCACAGTAGACTGCTGCAGAAAAGGTGACAGAACATAACATGGCAGTGCTCTCTGCAGCATTCAGGACCTGCTCACTGCCAGTGGAAGAACAGGACCTGTGATGTCATGTAACCGGGCTGAAGACTGCAGGAAAAAAGGTTTGTATGTACATAAAAAAAACAAGTGCAGTGGCGCTTCCCAGTAAGGGGGGTGGAGTTGGGCTTTATAGAAAACCTGTGCTTTGCCCACGATGAATAAAGCTATAGGTTCATGCTACCTCCCTTACTTCTATGTGACGGCTTCCTTGTAATACAGTGAGTTGGTCTTATTGCATACTGTTGTGGCTGTCTATTGAATGTCAATATTCTGTTTTCATCTCTTTTACTGCTTACTAAATAAAGAATGTACAAAAATAGAGCAATGATATTGAAGGTGCACTTGGCTGGTATTGTATTGTGTCTAATCTCTGACTACCTTGTTTGTAGAAATGTTGGATCTGTCAGATACCAATCAGGAAGCTCAGTATAAATCCATCACTCGTCAAGAAGAGTTCTATGATTTTAATAATCAGCTGCCTGATTTAAAGTAAGTTTTAGAATTATTTTTTTTCTCATTTTACTGTAACAGGTGAACCAATTACATTTTTATTATTTCACTGCTTGGGAAATGCACCCTCTCTACATAGGCGTGCGCAGGGAGTGTGCCAGGTGTGCAACCCCTAATCACCCCGAGCGCAACATCGAAACAGCAGGTGCCGTGTTTTTAGTAACTGATCCGGGGGAGAGATCACAAAGTTCTTCTCCCCTGCTGGAAGAGGTAAGGGTCAGGTGAAGAGCTGGGAATCTGGTATGCCCAAGGTCTTTGTATGTATTTATGTAATAAGACACGCACACACGTGTTTGTACCTATGTGCGCACATCCCAATGCACTAGGCCTCACACTCCGATGCCTCTCTATATGTTTTGTTGGCCATTGTAATCAAGACTGAAAGTTACGGTAAGGGGTGAGGGGAAAACTTTCAATGGGGACACCTGTTCCACTGACCACTATCTAAGCAGGGAATTCCCCTCACTTTGTAGGGATTTCCACCCACTTCCTGTTGCATCTGCGAGACACAAAGTTAAGAGAAATTTCACAGGACAGAAAAAATCAGGAGAGAAAAATGTATCCCTTTCCTACTCTACATAAAAAGTATTTAAGTCCTGGCTGTAGTTCTTCTTCCCAGCAATAAAGTCCCAGAGAGTTATAAGAAATTTTCAGGTGGTTGAACTATCTATCACCTCCCAGTAAAATATCAGTTTTGGGAGGAATGACTCTTCATTATTTTTGGAATAAAAATATTTTTAGAAATGTTTTTAGAGAATCTCCTGTTATTTCATACTTTTGTATGGTTTAGGCCCCGTTCACACCTTTCCGTTTTGTCGGGCGTTCAACGCTCTATGAACGCTCTACAAAACGTACAACCATGAAAATCCCATTGTTTTCTATGGGTATGGTTCACACCTTTCCATGTTTCCGCACGTCTGAACGCCCTACAAAACGGCTGACGCCTAAACAAGTACATGTACTTCTTTGGGACGTTTTGGAGGGCGTTTTCCATTGAAATACAGCCAAGTAGCCTTCGGAATCGCGCGACGGTCGCGCAATTTTTTTACCGCGATTCGCGGTAAAAAAAAACGCGTGACGGTCGCGCGACAGACGTGCATGCGTAATACGCCTAGGTGTGAACCCAGCGTTAGGGTTTTTAGGAGCTCTCTCTTTTATTCGGCAACTTGTTTCCTGTATTTATTTAAAGCAGTTCCATATCTATGGGTAATGGGGTCCCATAACAAAACCGCTAAGGGGTCCTATGTCTCTCCAGTCTCTGTGTTAAAAGCAATATCTTTAGTTCAATATTTATTTTCATATAATTTGTGAATAGATTCACCAACTATATTTACATTTTTTTCACTCAAATGTATTTGCAAACTGCTATTGCCACAGGTAACCAGACATCTCCTTAGAGCCCCCCCTCCAGGCCGACTCCATAGCAGTCATATGGTCAGCTATGGCTATTGTTTCCCCCTTGTTTTTAAGATAAATAATATTAGCATAGGAGGGGAATTATAGGATATTCATCTCGGTGTATAGATTGAAATTCCTGGTTTCAATTACAGTTAGACAAAGAAAAAAATCAAGTGGTTTTATTACGTTTTATTGATATTTTTCTGCATGTGACATCATCACAGAGTATGATATTTTCCTGAAACATTAGCCTAGGTTGCTTATTGTTCTTAAATTCTGAATTTATTTCTGTGTTTTTGCATACCTTTTATAGTAACATTGAAGCAGTCGATCATTTCACACTAAACCAAAGCCGTGTAGAGGACATCACAATGAAAGAAGATTATAACCGGCAATGTATTCAAGAAAGCATTGGTGAGGACTCGACTATGTTATAAATAACAGAGAGGCTTGTTCTCTAACCCTGCATTAGGTCAATACACAATGGCTCTATCGGTCAGGTGTATTGGGAAAATGAATGGGGAAAATAGAAAGGCAGTATTACTTTAGAAACAGACCCAATGAGTTACTAGTCTGTGTGTATAACCGTGTGCTTGTTTTATAAATAACAGTGTAATCAGGTATATGAACTAACATGAGAGAATTGACTGGGGATATATCGTGAGCTTTGTGTTCTAGTTTGATGAAGTGAATGCCACTCAGACTATCAAGAAGCTTTATTTAAAGCTGAACTCCAGACAGGCATATAAATAAATGAAGTACATATTAAAGGGTTATTAATCTACTAGCAAGCAATAGATCTTGGGGCGGGCGCATGCGCAGTTCAAATGTTCGGCCAGGTGACGAGGAGAGACACAAGGTAAGTCTATGGAGCAGCATGCACCCACAAAGAGTCCATGGGACATCAGAGAAGAGGAGGACAGAGGAGTCAGTGCTGGATCGGAGACCCGCACCAGCGCTGGAGGGTCCGTAAGGAAGAAGATGATCGGATTAAGAGACATCATTTAAGGTAAGTCCTGACACTAACATTGGGTGGGGGAAAACAAGTAACCTTTAATGTCACTTTAAGTTGTAGTTTTACCTGCGAAAGTATATGTGTCTGTTTATTAAGTCCCGATATTTACACAGACCTGCCACACAGCTACAGTTCTACCTTGCACGGAGCTACAAGAGATAAATACCAACCCAGTTGCTCTGGTACTTACATTAGTTGTATTTTAAAATATATTTAGTTATTTGTTAAGAATACACAGCTGTGTTTTTAGAGTTGGATTTTTTACATCTGCCCGGAGTTTAGCTTTAACCCTTAGACTGCCAAGCAGTGTCCTACAACCTGTTTAGTGTGCAGCCCTTTTTGCTCAATGTCCCCAGGCTCTCCTGCCACTCCTGGGGGCCTAGAGACTTCCTGCAGAACAGTCAGGATGGAGTGCGGTGGAGTTTCGGGGACCTGCGTAATGAACCTGAGAGCACTCAGATCAGAGTACTTCCAGGTTCCTGGCATACTGTAGTCAGATGAGTGGATTATTTGTCCCCTATCTGCTTGGTCTCAGTGCATCACCCCTGATGCCTCCCAGAATACCAGTCATGCTCTTGTTTTATTGCACATTACCACAACACATAAGTATAAGGCCTCATTCACACTGTAATTGGCCCGCACGTACAGCTCCGTGCTGCGTGCAGCGCCTTATCGAGCAGCTCCTAGGAAGGACAGGTGCTGCGTGTGATTGATAATCAGCCCCTGTCCTCTATGGGAGTACGCGGCCTCAAGTGCAGGTCCGTAGGGGCGCTCACCCGTACAGACGTGCAGGGCGGCTGAGCGTAGGGGGGCGTACGGCCGTGTAGTCCCATAGAAAAGGACGGGGGCTGCGTACTAAAAACACGCAGCACCTGTCCTTTCCAGGAGCTGCCCGATACGGCCGTGCACGCAGCACGGAGCTGTACGCTCGGGCCGATTACAGTGTGAATGAGGGCTTAAGGAGCCCATATAAGTCCATAATCATGTCATTGCTTCTCATTACAGTGGAAATGTGGCCACAGTAAAGAATTCCAGATGATTTTGCCGTGTATGACTCTACACTTTGAATCTATTCTACAGGAAACCTAGATCCACTAAGAGAGGAGTTTAATAATGAAAGCAGTTTTGAAGTAAGCACCAACAGTGTTCTTCCTGAGAGCAGCTTTGTGGGTCTCAATGAGGATGCCGAAAACCTTTTTAACCATGACTTATTTGGAGATGAAGACACTGCTGCAAATGTTTTCGGTATGTCACCATTGTGTGTGCCTAGCTGTGTTGTATTATAGATGTACAGTTTATAGAATACAGCACACAGCATGTTGTTCTGTTCAATAAGGATCAAAAGACGCAAACATTGCTCCAGCCAATGACATGGCACTTGGAAGGCCTGTTATGTAGAATTATTACACTGTCCACTGTGGGATCTCATAGAATAGCCTATATCAGAGGTAGCCAAACTTTGACCCTCCAGCTGTGGTGGATCTACAAATCCCATGAGGCATTGCAAGATTCTCAGCCACAGACAAGACTCCCGGAGAGTAGGATCATGGGATTTGTAGTTTCACCACAGCTCGAGGGCCGGAGTTTGGCTACCCTTGGCCCATATGATCCACAAACACATAGACTGTATGAAGCAACACTAATACACTGGTTTACAAATTGCACAGGAACAATACAAATGTGAAATGTTACATTTATCTTTACTGAACTTATAACACATTATACTGTATGTTGGATCCTGCTATAGATTTATCTGATAAAGGAATTTTCTTTCAACCAAAATAATCACACCTTCTGTTTTTCCTTAGCTTACAGTACGTTGTTTGCAGAATACAATCCCCTGGACATGGATGCGAGCAAAGAGGTAACTCTGCTAGCCAGCCCACTTGCCCAAGAGCAATATTTAGAGGGTGAGCTTCTTGCAGGTATGTATAAGCTACAGTTTGTTAAAGAGGTTATTCCGATTCTATTTAAAACTCGCCCTTGGAGCTGCCTGCTGTTTTAAAGTGTATCTAAATCCAAGTACAAAAAATAATATATTGCAGCTAAGCAATTGGTTTCCAAGGGAAGCTAAAGAGAGCCAAACAGCTAGGAGCCATTGCCGCTATAAAGCTCCTTGTCTGCTCCTTTTAAAGCAATCGATCGGCAGGTGCTTCAAGCATGACACCATCTGTAGTGTGGGCAAGGGTAGCTCCGCTAACAGGGGGTTGTATTTTCATTACTTTTCTTATATATGAAATTGTGTGGAAGAGAGCAGAAGTATAAATTAGCCCTTATTGTTTACTGACTATGCGTCTGTAATTTTGTGTGTGTGTGTGTATACAATAATTTTTGTTTTGCGTATGGTGGTGTGCCTCTTTATATTGTACATCACTTTATAAACACAAGGAGGGGAATTTATCAAAGCTGGAGCAGACAAAATCTGGAGCAGCTGTGCATGGCAACCAATCAGATTCTCTCTTTCATTCCAAAAACTTAACTCAACAAACTGAAGAGAGATTTAGATTGGTTGCCGTGCACAGCTGCTCCAGAGTTTGTCTGCTCCTATTTTGATAAATTCCCCTCTTAGGCCTGGTTCACACCTGGGCGTTTTATAGCGCGTTCCTACGCTCTGTAAAACGCTCAACATGTGAAAACCAATGATTGCCTATGGGCATGGTTCCCACCTGGGCGTTTTACAGCGCGTAAGAACGCACTGCAAAACCCCCTACGCCCAAAGAAGTACAGGAGCTTCTTTGGGGCGTATTTGCCGTGCGTATCCATTGGGATACAGCTAGGTAGCCCTCGGAAACGCGCGTTTTTTTACAGGGAATCACGGTAAAAACGTGCGACAAACGCGCATATTCCATACGCCTAGGTGTGAACCCAGCCTTAGTGTTTATAGTACTAGATAATAATAAGTGTTTGATGTACTGTGTGTATGAAAAGCACTGTGCATGAATTGTGGGACTCAATCACAGGCCTTGGGCAGATTTTTCAGATCGATGCAAATCAATTCAAGTAACTTTGGATGACCTTGGCAGTAATCCCAGGCCTTCTCACTAATACTTTTTCTGTATGTGAAAGGTCAGTTATTATTAGAGCGAGTGGTAATATAAGATCAATACATATCAATAACTCAATAGATTCTGTTAAGTGTGAAAAGTCACGTGCTTCAGTCATGCAGTATTTATAACCAGTGTTGTAGAAAATTAGTGCTAACACCTACTATATTAAAACTTTTCTGTCATTCACAGTAGAAGCACATGTTCATTGGCTGCTGCATGTGGTTGAATGAACCCCATATTTAATTTTATTATGCAATATAGACAGTAAATTATGTAGGTAGCCAGGAATCATGCAGTTTATCAGACAAAAGGGGTAATAGTGGCCTTAAATGACATCATCATGGTTAGCATTGGTTGCTAAAATCAAGATGTTTCTGTTCTGTCCGGAGGCAGTACTCAGTACCTCTGACAGTTGGAGGTGTGATTTATTGAAGCTTGTTGGAAAATATCTCAGTGAATAGAATTGACCATTAAATTTTCCACATAGAGGAGTGAGAAAGGAGAGAATTGTATCTCCTCACCTGTTCTTGGAGGTTTTTTGGGCAGTTCAGTGGCCACCTATGAAAAAATCATCTTTGATGTCTCTGCTAAAATAACTTGTTTGGTGACGTACTGGTTACATCCTCTGGTAGGGCAGCCCATGTGTATTTCTAGTAATGTGCATTGTTTTATCAGCAGCTAATTCAAGTAACACAGACCCGGAAATGCCAATGGAAAATCCTGCCGAAGGAAATAGCAGCTCACTTCAGTCTGAAATTAGCTTTGTCCTGGAACCCTTGGATGCTACAGGTACTCAAAATATAGTCTTAATAATTACACAATGTGAGATGTGCACTATAAGGCAAAAGGTATATGGAAACCACTGTGTCTCTTTTCACTGACCACTGTGTAAGGGGCGGTCTTCTTTTTACTGAACATAGTTGTATGGGAGGCACCTCTCTCACTGACCATAATGTAAAGATGCCCTTCTCCCAGTGACCGCTAATGCCACTTCCACTGACCACCAATGTAAGGAGGCATTTCTCCACAGACCAGTGTTTGGATGTCTGCCTGTGTTTCTTTTATAGACATTATTATTTTTCATTTGTGATTGTTACTGAAAACTATTTTGAAAATATAGAGCAGGAGGTGTTAAACAAATGCTCTACCTTCAGTGTCCAATACTCTAGCTATGCCACATTATTTTATTCAGCATTATATATAACATTTACTGATCTTGCTCATGTAGAGTCGACTATAAATATATATTTTAGCAGGTGTTCCCTGAAAGCTGAAAATTCTATCAAGGGTGTGATATTTGGGGAAATTAGCACAAATGGTGAACACTCAAAGACGAGTCTTGAAGCCACTTTAACATAACAGGACAGACTTTATTTCTTTCACAAACGAACAACAACTTTCTTCAGTGATAACACAGGGTCGCTTGTATTTCAGCAAAACCGAATGTATGACATAATCTCACCCACTTCAGGTTGTTGCACATATTCCTTGTGTCCCAGTCCCCGAACATTAGGGTTTTTCTTAACAGAGCCACAGTCCACCTCTCGTGGGACTCTTAACCACATCCCTCATGTGTCACTGGCTCTCTTTGTCTCCTGGAGCCCTGAACACCAGCCAGCACCCTTTCCATAAGGGCTGTGCACAGGTGTGCAATCATTAGGTACTGGACACTACTAAACCACGAACCAAGGACTGGAGATCTCATCCCTCCCAGTTCCAGGATCCCATGCCAAATCCATAAAACCTGGGAAGAACTGCACAGTCAGCTCTTTCCCCCTTCCTTGAATTTGCTTCCTGGAACTGCTCAGTGCCTCTGGCTGAGAGTTCTGGGTGACTACAACCCCCAGTTCTACTGTTGGATTGCCACGCAATACCACAAGGGTTAATCTGAGATAAAATAGTTCAGAAAGGTTGTCTTAGAGCAAGGATAGGCAACCTTGGCACACCATGTTGAACTGAGTTTTTCGGTTGTCTGTCATATGCTTACCCTCATCAATACCATATGCTATGAGCTATGTTTAATAGAAAACCAAGGTCAGGAATTCTAGTGACAGGAATGGGGTTTCCCTGCAGTGCTGCTGTCTTTTGATTTTAGTGAGAGTGTGGCATTGTGTAGAGGTGTGAATTCGCATGAAAGGACAATCTGCTTCCTTGGCTGTATGCCTGATCATATTCTGCCATCTGGACCACTCATTATTTATAAAAAAGGTTGTTTTAATCTTTTTTTTTTCTTTTTGAAAATACAAAGTAGGTATGTCCTTTACCCCTCAATACCTGTCCAGTGCACCAAGCATACAGGTCATTCTCCCCAGAGCTAGAGAGCAGTGGACTGGTGTAAAGAGTTTGGGGCCCGAAGGCCTCCCATAAACACCAACCCATCTTGAAGGTGAATCTGGCTTAATCTCCCACTTGTACTGGAAACAGAGAAAAGCTGGTCTATAGCCACCAAAGAGAAGGGCCTTCCTATTGTTACATAGTATTTGAGGTTAAATAAAGACATTAGTCCATCAAGTCCAACCTATTGAGGTTGCTTCACCCATGAACTGGATTAAATGTTCTAAGGCCCTTGAAAAATATATCAAATATTATATCACTAAAATGTGCCATTTATAGAATACAACTAACTTTCTAGTTGAAGGATTCCTAAGGACTTATTGCTTTATTTAGAAATTGAAAAGAGAAAGCGAACAAGAAAAAAAAGGAATCTTACGGTGGATGATTCAAAGCAGATTTCCAGCACCTTCTTCCGTCAACAGCTGGAAGACACTTTAGATACCCTGACCACCATGGATATTGCTCCCCCCACACACTGCATGATGGAGTGGAAGAAGACCGGAGGGGTTCAATGGCTGCTATCTGAGCCAGCTCAGCCTGTAATCAACACTGACCTTCAAATGGTAAGCAGTGTCCAAAAAAGTATATTCCCCAAATGGCACTTTAGACCTCTCTCAAATGACTATCACATTTCTTTAATAACATAAAACACTGCAATCATTGTGTATTTTTCATTCACTTGTACAAACAACAATATTTTAGCTCTAAAATGTAAAACAAATTACAGATCTATGGTTTCTTGTCAGCAGACTTTGCAGTGGAGTAGAATTATTGTCCAGTATGTCTATTAGACGCTGGGCGAAGTTAGACTAGAATAACCCTGTAAAAGAAGGTTTATACCCACGGGTGGTGAGGGTAAATCTTCCTTATCTTTATGAGTCCTGGGTGCTCCTTCTATATAACACTTCCAAGTGTTCCCCGCTAAACACATTGGTTCCTTCTGCCAACCCTCCATCGCTAGAGGACACAGTAGTGATGTAGGGGATGGTGGGTAGGACAACATTACCCATTGGGGGGGGGGACATGCTATCAGTCACAACCATAAATGCTCATTAGCAGCAGCTATCTTGAACACAGAAAAGGTTTACCTCCCCATTCATGGGATATGCAAGTATAGAGCTTCTTCCTTTACAGGATGTCTTTAAAGTCATACTCTGTGCAAACCGCAATGCAAAGCTAAAAGATATATATGTGAGCAGCCTTGTAATTTTGGCATCCCTGTTGGACAACCTAAGTCAGTGACCCCACATCAGTTATTCAATGCAGCCTGGGTGAGGACCACTGCTTCTGTTTAGTGGACAATGATGGAGCAGCAGCACACTGATGAGGTCATGCCTGTGTTTGTTTTTCTCTGTAAGTATATTTGACTGATAGCACCATGCAAAGTAAAAATGCCCTGATTAGTTACTGTCCCTCCCTTTCTTGAATGCTGCAGCATAGGGTATTACAGACACCAAGACTGTTTCAATTACATTTGCCCTTTCTATACAAACACATTTTTTATATATTCATAACTGGATGAAATATTGTTTTTTTATTTACACTAAAACCTAAGATTTGCAAGGCCCAGGATCAGAGCTTCTTCTGATTCTACCACCAAAATTATGGAGCCTATAAAGTGGTCTTGAAGCAGCTAGCATGACCAGTGAGATGAGGAGGGTATTTGTGAATTACATTATAATTAAAGACATACTTTGTATACCTTTTTCCTATAGTGAGTGTCTGTTAAAAAATCTTCTTATTTTGTGTACTTTAATAAAATGATGTATTTCTTCATATGGAGTTTCCAGCTAAAAGTTTGATTTGTAAAATGAAAATGCCTGGACAGGAAGCTGAAAAGTAGTGGTGGTGCTGGGGGAAGGGGGTATTTCTGTTTAGAGAGAGCTGAGTTGGGGAAGTGTTGTAGGGTCCCAGGTAGTGATGGACTCAGGCGTGTTCGCAAGCGCCTCGTGCCGAGCCCGCCGGGAAGCTATCAGCGCGCAGGGCCAATCACAGGCACCGAGACATTTCCCCATCTCTGCAGCTGCGGACCGGGAACATGTCTCAGTGCCTGTGATTGGCGCTGATAGCTTCCCGGCAGGCTCGGCACGAGGCGCTTGCGAACACCCCCGGGTGCTCTAACCGTAAAATCCTTTTCTCTGAGTCCATTGAGGGACACAGCTTCCTCCCCTCATTTCCTTTTTTATACCGCTTGCTACAACTGGCAGGTGTGAGGGGTTATGTCCTTAAAGTGACAGGCTTTTATTTTTTTTGCCTAGTGTCCATTTCTCCTGGAGGCAGCAGCATAACCCTACGTCTCAGAATTCTTCAGAGCTGTGTCCCACAATGGACTCAACAACTGTGCTCTGTAATGTTATTCAACAGAGTTTTGTTTTTTTGCATCTATACTAATATGATTCTGTTCAGCTGTTTACACAAAACCAGAGATCAGAGACTGGAAAAAGCAATCGATCAGCCACTACTAAAAAAAAAGCACAAGAAATGCCTTCAGAACCTGAAGTTGAAACACAACAACAAGATCAAGAAGAACAGGGTAAGAATATTATGAACAACTTGCTTTCTACTGTCAGTGATGAATGTGTGGGTAGATGATTTCACTGTGCCCTGCAGCAAGGGATTCTAGATGGGTGCTGGACTCTTAATGAAAGAAAAGGTTTCTTGATTAATATCGTTCATCTGCAAGACATTGATTGTTTATTCCTCGTAACTCTCCAGATCTACCGCAGCTTGAGGCTACTGCAGTGACAGATATAAGCTCCACCTTCAGTGAAGAGCCCTCAGGAATGCATGAATTGCCAGGCTTTGACCAGCAAGTCGCCCATGAGAGCAGCCTGGTACAAGAAGTGAGTTAAGTTAAAAGGAGAAGCATCTTATGTGTTTTACATCCAGAGTGTAAAACTGAATTGCATCCTCAGTCTGTATCCTCTGTTGAAGATAAGTGAGAATGCTGTGTTGCTAAGGCTGACCATAGACATCACCTGATCTTTCTGAAAGTAATGAATGGTGCTAAATACAGTACTACAATTTTATAACTAGTTAGATTACAGCCTTTGTCTCCCTTCACACTATCACGTAGCGGGAACACTTGCAACGGCAATGTGCATCCCAGCCTGTTTGCAGGTGTTTGTGTCCTGCGTTTGCATGTAATGACACTGCAAGCGCGTTGCATGTCTTTTACCCTTTCCATGAACGTGCGTCACGCTGTGCGTGACACACGCGCGTCACACTGTTTGGCGCACGTTCATGGAACACGTAGGTGTGACTAGGGACTTATTGTTGCATTCTACGCATTGTCACTCACTTTTTGAAATACATTTGCCTAATGCAAATGTTAACACTTCCTATTATTGTTGAGAGCTGCCTCATGCACCTTCTTATTGGCCAGTAAGGCTGTCCAGCAGAATGATGGGCCAACCAAATGGTGTGGAAAGGGACAGGTCAGTTCTGCTTGGAAGTGACAACATTTGCATTTGAATGCACCCTAAAGTTTGGGCCCCTGGGTTCTGGACCAGAAAACAGAAAAAGTATGTGCAGGCATCAATCTGGGGGCCAGCAAACTAGCTGAACACTAAGACAGGTGCACTTTAAGAACAAAATCTCCAGTTGTATGTAATATTTGCTAATAATTTCACATTCTCAGGAGCCAACTGAGAGCATTCAAGAAAGTGATGAGCACCAATGGGCCAAAAGAACTCAGAAGATGCTAAACTGTTTAAAAGTAAGAGTCATATTTTGTTACACAAATAAATAAAAGATTGTGTTTGGTTTAAAGGAAGTTTGATCTTCTGCTGTGAATTGTAGTTTCTGGGCTGAAGACAGCCAACAGATGTCACCTCTTCCCTGCCTTTGACAATCATCTATTTTTTATGGGTGAAAAATAAGCTCCGAGGGAGCTGGAGCCCCTGGAGTAGATTAAGCTTTTTATGCTGCAGTGCAGCCCAGGCTTTGGAGAGGTTTGAAGCCAAACAAAGTGTGAGCATCAAACTACTATCTAAAACTTGGACAAAATTTGGTAAATAAAGGTCAGAGATAAATGTCTCCAGATGTGGACCATGTCTGGGCAATGTTTGTTCAAATGTCCACTTATGGTCTCCATCGGAAACCTGTATGACGGGGTGACAACACAGGAGCCCAGTTGGGAGACGGGGACAGTGCATTTTAATCTGTTTAATTTTTTTTAATAAATTCTTTATTTATACAACGGCACACATGAGATACAGTCAAACGAATAACAGTATGAGGATAAATTGTTACATATAGTCAACAGAATGGCATCCGCCAGGGCCACCGCCCTCCTGGGGATCCGACATAAAACAGACATACATCCATTAAGCATATCTCCGACACGGAGACTAGAGCATGTTAATCTGTCGCCGGTTGGGCTCCCTGCCGTTGTGCCATATAAACCGGGTGGCGTCATTGTGGTTTGTAAACATACAAGCACATAGCTTAGTTCAAGTAGGTAGATCGGTGTGGCTCGCTATGCCAATCACCAGTTTTCCAATTTACAAAGGGGGAAGACAGAAGGAAGAGATCTAGGGAAGAAGAGGATGGGGTAAAGCCAGAGCGCATAAGAGAGAGCAGGGAGAGACAGGGGGGAACTTAATCTGTTTTCTATTAATCTGCCCAGCAGTGCTGCGTGCTCCCCTTTTCTCGAGATAAGGCAAAGCCTGCAGACCTTGTCAGTATTTCTATATAACTGTTATCAATCTGTCCAGTATGTTTCCATATTTGCTTTTTCCTGCCTGATATTTGTTTTTTTCCGCAGGAAATAAACCAGTCTGGAGTCAACTCATTTAACTTCAATACTATATGCGAGAACGATAAAAAGAAGGAGGCAGCTACTAAGTTCTACAGCCTCTTGGTGCTAAAGAATAAGAATGCCATCAGGATGGTACAGAACTCTCCGTATGGTAACATCATTGTCATGCCAGGCCCCCAGTTCCACACCCTATGACTGCTCCGTTACCATTTGCTTTAGGGTTTCTAATATTAATGTGTTTCTTTGTCATTTTCAGTGTTATTATTTAAATGCACAAGTTTTGTTGTAACAGTGGACCCCTCTGCAACACCATGGAGTCATTTACATGTTCTTTTATTAATGTTCCTTAAAGTGCCTCTTAAACCGTGATTCGGTCTCTGCGTCTTTTTTTTTTTTTAGAGGATTTTTCAGTAAATAGAATCTGAGCATGGAAATATGTATACACGATATTACCCTTAGGCTAGTTTTATATTATTAATCATTTTCACAATAGGAACCACTGATGCTGTTACCACTGATGTTAGCGTAATAAAGGTGTGATTGTTGTTATTTTAAGGATATGGATAAAGGTCGGCTTTAATTCTTTATTTACTCCATCCAGCAAAGATTGCATATCTGTTTGAAGTTATAATAATCTCTGAGACTTACAGTTGCTCAGATTCAGAACCTTGGTTGTTCTTTCACTGCTGTAATACACTATGGTGAACATTAGGTGGCACCATAACAGACCTCGTATACAGTTATCTTTCCCAGGAGAAACAAATAGGCTGCCAGTGCTGACAACTGCTCATTGTCTGGCTGTCATGCAAACATACCTGCTTCAATATGTAGAGTCACACACAGAAGTACACAGACAAGGAAATCTGACTTCCACTTTCTTGCATACTTGTTTTGGATCAGGAGTTTAGAAAGTCAGCCAGGCAACTAGCATTTTCAGAGAGCGGTCTGCAATGGCAACCTCCGTATTTCGCTTAATAGACATTAACTGGAATATGTTGCTCTTGTTTCTAGGATGGGATTGGAGCCATTTTAGTTATTCCTTTTAGATGTGGAATACGTGTTCTTGATGGACCGAGATGCCGAGCACAAAAACTCCCAAGCAAATGCTTCTCTAACTCCTTCCCATTATGTAGAAAAAAAAAGGACTTGGCTAGAATCCCCTTTTAGGCGGTTGTGATTGGTCTCATGGATGAACGTTCCCTTTAAACGTGAACTAACACAAAATGTCCACTTAGCCGGTTCAGCAGCTGTGAGGACACTGATGTCATCACAAGGGACATATGGGCTCACTGAGCAAGGAGCAGAGTTACACAGTAACACAAACAGCCAATGAGAATTCATCGTTCTCACTGCAGCTGCTAAGGACACGTATTTGATTGGTTTTTATGGCCTTTGCACTGTGATTTTATAGAGAAATGTAAAAATACCTGTGTGTGTGTGTGTGTGTATATGTATATATATATCTATATAT